ACAGCTCAGCCTCCCGGCTCCCTTCTGCCTGGCTTCACAGGGTGACCAGTGTGGTCTCCAGAGTCAGACTGAGGTTTGAACTCTAGCTCTGCCATTGACCAACTGGGTAACTAATTTGGCCAAATAAATGTGTTTCTGAGGATTAAAAAGTATACACCTACCTACCCTGCAAATGTGTTGTAAGGATTAAATAAAGTGCTCTATGAAGGTAGTTAGCAAAATGCTTAGCACATCAAAACAATAGATCACTGTTGTTATTGTTGTTTCTACTTGCTTTGATCACTTTCCTCTCTGATTATGGACTGCACCCTTTTCTCTTCCTGCGGGGAGGAGGCAGGTTGTCCGGACTGACTCCCGGACTGTACGCCTAGGGCGGCACATGCTCAGTGCCACCAGCAGCTAAGGGAGCCTTAGGATGAGGAATGAGGCTGTGGTTCAGGACTGGGAGGTGAAGGTTCGGGCAGGCACAGGCACAGAGGGCAGAGACGGGGTGAGGAACCAGGCAAGGAGGAGGTGACAGACCCTGGCCTTTCACTGTGGGCATGCCTGAGATGTCCAGAGCCCTCCAGCATTGACGCTCCGAGGGTCAGTGTTGGGGGGGGTTGGTTCTGACACCAGCCCCCACCCGATCCCTCAAACCCACATTCTTACTCTCAGCTCGCTCAGACTTGCTATCTCCTAATACCGGTGTGAGTTCCACCTCCAACCTGTCCCCGGCCTGTTTTCCCCCCTAGCATGACCCTCCTTCCCCCAGATCTGACCTCAGCCTGTGGCCGGTTGGGGGCTGTGTGATTCCCAGTTGGTGTCGGGGCCTCTGAAGTTGGGGTACAGCTGTAACATCTTCAAAACAGTTTTACCGAAAGCAAAACAAAAGAACTCATCCCCATGAAGATGGACACTAGTGACCTGTGGTTTCTTTAGGGCTTTTTCTCTTAATTGGCATAGCTCTGGAAAAGTGCTAATGTCATACAGAAGAGGCATGAACTGTGAATACCCTGAAATACTTGGTTTGGAAAGAGTCCTATGGGAGATGTAGAAGGGCTCTAAGGATTCTTGAAAGATCTTTTCTGTGCCTTAGAGACTTGTTAAAACAGCTTTTCATTTAAGTCCAAAGTTTGGATTGCTTACTCTGACTTTAAGTCCTTCATTCTTCAGAATGGAAAATGCCCAGCCTGCCAGCAGCCCCATCTAAGGCTCACCCAGCTACATAAACCTCCATCATATGCTCCCTGAGACTCAGAGCTTGACTTTAAGTGAGGGAGTGTTCTCCCAAGGCTTTGTGGGTTTGGAGAAGCAACTGTGTGTTTCGCAATCTGTACTCAAGCGGTGCAAATTGATTCTCCTACCAGCTCGGCCTGAATGTAAATGAGAGGAAGAATAGTAGCTAATATATGCTTATTCGGGCACTGTATTAGCACATTCTATGGATTGTGTCATTTAGTCCCCCAACAACCTCATATAGTAGAGACTCTTTCTTATTTTTGTTTTTAAGATGTATTTATTTCAGAGAGGGGGGAGGGGCAGAGGGAGAAGGAAAGAGAGAATCTCAGCGGACTCCCCAGTGAATGCAGAACCCGACATGGCGCGCGATCTCACCACCCTGAGATCGCAACCTGAACCAAGAGTCAGATGATTAACCTACCACTTCACCCAGGTGCCCCAGGAGAGAGACTCTTTTTAAATCCCATTTCACAGATGAGAAAGCTAAGAGAGGTCAAGAGACTTGCCAAAGGACACAGAGCTATCTATCTAATGGTGCAGTCTGGATTTGAACTCAGGTGTGATTCTATAGCTTATGCCCTCAAACACATTCCTGTCGCACCAGCTGGCTCAGTAAATACTAAAAAGTTTGGTAGTATTGATTGTGCCCAAAATTGTGGTAACACGGGCACATATACATCTTGTGGGGGTGTAAATTGGTGCAGATTTTTGGAGCACGATTTGGTAGGTCCTACCAAAATGATAAATTTGTTTCATCTTTTAATCATTCCTGGCAGTCTATAACACAGGAAGCCTTGGATTTGTAAGCAAAGAAATACACATGCAAGTGTTCATCATAGCATCATGCGTGGAAATAAATATCCACCAATAACGCTGGTAAAGTAAATTACAGAACATCCATGCTGTGGAATGCCACTATACGTCGAAGCCTTTGCTTTTTCAACAATTTGCTGAGTATCCATCACACTGGATATGGCCATGAACAAGCGAGCCAGACACTCTCCAATCCTGCAGAAGTTAGGTTCTACCAAGAGAATTTTGATGCTTCAAAAATTTTTAGCTTTTTAAGTAAGTTTTCCATAATGCTCCTGCTTTCTTATTTGATTGGCTAACACAAATGATCCCAAACAAGTAAAAATAAGCTGTTGACCATGCAGGTGGCATGCAACCACTAGATGAGACGATTTACAGCAAGAAACTGTTCTAATGTCCACACACGTGGATCCACCATCCTTGGAGCTTCCATAGCTCTCAAAATTACAGGTAGAATTTCATCACCATAAATAAACACTAGTGGAGGGCCCAAACAACTTTTGTTGAGTTATGTACTGCAAAAGTAAAATCAGCATGTCATTAGTTGGGACTTGAAAACCAAGATTTAATTATAATGCGAGGTAAATCTGCAGGGCCAGCTAACTCGCTGGCCATCTTACTTCCGCCCACGTTGATTTTACTTCTTAGTAAAATATTTCTTCAAGGGCAAAGGGATGGTCATCAGACAGTATCTCGTTAATTGGCTCTCCTATCTTGTATTTCTCTTTTATACATCTGGACTTGGTTTACCATAATTTGAAGATCTCCAACACTAAAAATGAACAAAAGGATTGCTATGATGCAGGATCTACTGACATGGAAAGTTTCCCCTGATATGATATTAAGGAAGAATTTTTAAATCATGGTGCAGAATAAAATGTTCAGTATGATGCAGTTTTTGTGGGAAGAGCTCTGTCTAATGTACACACACACACACACACACACACAGTTGCATATGCATAGTAAAAGGTCTGGAACGATACACACCACACTGTAACATTCTGGAGAAGGAGGCGGAAGGCAGGGTAGATGCCAGGGCGGAATATGCTCCACATTCACACTGTGTGCTTCTGTGATGCTAAATTTGTCTACAGTAAGCATGTACGATTCTGCTTATGCAATATTCTGTATATATAAAATCGAAGGAAAATAAAGTATACCAGAGCTAGATGATGAAGGCCATGTAGGAGAACTCAGGAATTAAGACATTGTCATGGAAGTTGTGGGCAGCCGCTGAAGGGAATGGAGGCAGGGAATGGAGATGGTTGGATTTGCAGCAGCGTGGAGGGTGCACTAGGGGTAGGAGGAAGGTGTGGAGGCCGTGGAAGGGCTCAGAGGACTTGCAGACCGAGAGCTTGGACTTGGACTTGGAGCCCGACCGCTGTGAGGAGTGGGAGGTGGAGGAATGGAGGAGCCCTGGAGGAGGTGCGGGCTTCCGGGGTCAGAGGCAGGGCCCACACGGGACGTATGAGATGATACCTGGGCAACCAGGTCACGGGAGACCCAGCACTGGTGTTGTGCCTCACACGTGACTTCATGCTAGACAGCCTCTCTCAGCCATTCACCAGATATTTATTAGAAAAGAGTGAGGGATACGTTCCCAACCAATAAACAAGTCTCCCACGAGCCATGTAAACCACCCAGTTGGGACTGAGAAATGCTCTCCTTGCAGCCATGTGAATGTGGGGGTGTCTTTGCATCCGAAGATTCTTTCCTCTGACCAAAAGAGGGAACCGTCAGGGAAGCCTGAGCTCAAGGAGAGCTGTTGCCTCTGCTAGCTTGTCCCCCAAGACTGGCTGTGGGTGCCCAGGGCCACGACGGATCTGGCTGAGCCCCTGTCCTTTTAAAGGCCCACCACCCAGTGGGCTGCAGGTGAGGCGATCCAGGCCAGAAGCCTTTTCATAATCTTTGGGCCTGAGCCTGGGAACACCTCTGATCTCCTTCCAGTTTCCTCAGGGCTGTGGATTTTCTGGGCATGGTACCCACCAATTGAGAAGTTTACCGGTTCACCCTAAGTATGTTCTAGGCATTTATGCCAGGCATGGCTCTAAGGACTAGGGCAGAGCTGTAAGCCAGCCAAGCAAGTCTCTGACCCCCTGGAAATCAGGGACCTGTTCAGGCGGCAACAAAGTTCTTGCTTCCTCAGCTGGTGACATTCTAGGTTTTTCTGGGCATAGCGGAGAGTGGTGTCTGAGCACCGCTGGGCCCAGCCAGGGGAAGGGGAGATCCAGGACCAGCTGAATCCACTCCAGGGAAGGTCCCTGGCCAAAGCCAAATCTGGGCCTCCTGTGGAAGTCTTAAGCCTTGAAAAGGTTATGATATTCCTCTGCCCCGATGTGTAATTGAAAATAAATACCCAAACAAACTGCAAAGTTAAGCAAAATCAACAAAGTTCTGATTTTTGCCCCTTGATGATGACTTAATGCTTCAAAATGCTAATTATCAAATTCTTTCTCAAAAAAATCATTTTGAGTGCCTATGCCACACGCTGTCCAAAGCAAAATAGAGCAGAATAATATGAGTGGCATGAGCAGTTGGCCTCCTTGTCCAAGGGAGTCTGATCAGGCGTGTGGGTCTCAACAGCAGAAAGGGCTCCGGGAAGGACAATCCTCTGGAGCAGGTGTTGGCTACACTGCAGCCCCTCATGTAGCCACGGCCGGGACGCAGAGCTCGTGACCTGCCCTCCGGGCTGGCCACAATATAGAAGCCTGGCCAGCAGAAGCAGAGTCCAGGTCAGAGCTCTGGCTACAGTGGGGGAGGGGTGGACCGGGCTGGAAACCAAAGTGTGGCTCAGGGGGCCCCCCCCACCCCCTGGGATTGCCGAGACTCTGGGGCTTCCCTACCCGGGGGCGGGCAGAGCCTCAGCAGCAGGTAAGGGTGTCGGAGTGGACGGTGTCACCATGTCGGCCCTCTTGTTCTCAGGAGCCTGGCTCTCCTCACTAAATATCTCTCGTCCTTCTTTGCAGAGTGATGAGGTCCTCACCGTCATCAAAGCCAAAGCTCAGTGGCCAGCCTGGCAGCCTCTCAATGTGTAAGTACCAACCAGACCCTGGCCATGCCCAGCCCTGCCCTGGCCTTGTATTCAGAGCCACCCAGCTTCTGGCCACCACCTGCCGGTTATGTCAGTAAAGTCAGCGATACCTCTCAGGGGGAAGAGCAGGGGCGGTGCGCTGCCCACGTGTGGGGTACCACACTTGCCCGTATCTTCTCAGGAGAATAGGTTTGGTCTCTGTTTCCCCCAGTGGCTCTAATACAACAGAACCAGACACAATGAAAACCATTCTGTGTTCACTCATGTTCTCAGCACAGGCCGAACATGCCTTCACACACAGGGGTACTCACCCGAGGCCAAGTCTGACTCACGGAAGGCTAGATCTACCCCAGTGTCCATTCTCAGTCCCCACCTCTTTCCTGTCTACTCTATCTCTTGAAGATTTCATCCTCCCTTGCATTTTGGTGACCAAGGGCGTGCTGATGGCCCACTAAACGACCATTCCCCCAGGTAGCTGTGTTTGTGCGTAGGTAAGTAGGCAGATATGTAGATAGGTAAGTAGATAGATCATCCATCCATCAGTTTCTTGGACACCTCTCTGGAGGGGGTGTACATGGACCTGGAACCCATCACTAAGTCCTATGGATTCTGCCATCTTCATAACTCACAAATCAGTCTCCACCTGACCCTTCTCCCACTGTTAGCTCCGACCACCATGTTTTCTCACGTGGACCGCTTCAACTCTTCCCCCTTCCGTTACGCTGTCACTGGAATGATCTTTTAAGAATCCAAATCTGATTGTGTCCTGCTCTCCTTAGAATCCCACCCTGACCTCTCTTAGTCTCCAGGATCACTTTGTGAGGCCACCAGGAGCCGGACACACCCCAGCCCCTGCCTCCTTTTCCTCAGGACTCGGGTCTTGCTCCTCCCTACTCTGCACCTCGCTCCGGCCACACTGAGTCCCATGCAGTTCCTTGAGCAGGCTCTGGTTTCCCTCATCCTCTAAGGATGCAAGATTTGGAGCAGAGTTCTCGCCAGCCACATGAAAGTGGTTGATGACGAATGGCTCGGCCAGCTAGTCTCTGGAGTATCTATACCCACCAATGATGGTATTGAGGAAGACAGCAGCAACCCAGGCAATGCTGAGATTCTGCGCAGTAGGAGAAAAGGCAAATACCAAATGATAGGAGGGGAAGCACAGGGTGAGGCAGCAGGAGCGGAGGGAGGAGGCACTCTCACACATGAACAGCTGGGAGCAGGAAGCTGGTGCCATGCCAGGCGCCTGGTGCCCCCCTCCTTAACCATTCGGCAAATCAGTGGTCCATTCCCCACGATATGCCAGCCCTATACAGCCAGTCCCCACCCCCTGCATGACCAGCAGGGGGATGGGGTGGGGGGAGATGGACCAAAAACAGAGTTCTACCATTCCAGAGCTGCCCTTTGCACACGTTCAGGTGGCACCACATATACAGAATATATATAATATGACGTCATCATGGTAGCCGTGTATGCTCCAAGGGGGTAAATGTTATGATGAGGATATCAGTGGTTCCAGAAGACCAGAGAAGGCTCACAACCCCGCCGAGGGTTGGGGAGAGGTCGCGAGGGCCTTGTTTAGGAGACACCCCAGGGCTGTCTGGAAGGATGCTCCTTGCCCCTGGAGAGGCCCAGATCTGGGTAGTACTGAGGCCTGAGGCCCTGCGTGGGGACCTGAGGAGAGAGAGAGGCCCACCCTTGGACAGCTGACCCAAGGTAGCCCAGCTGGCTGCATGGAGGCCTTGTCTAGCTTGCTGTGATCCCCTCTGAGGAAGCTGGGCCCAGAGTGGGTGAAAACCTGCTGAGCCCTGGAAGTGCCTTTCCCTCCAAGGAGAAACAAAAGAGGCAGGCCCTGCTGCCCAGGCTGCCCCCTGGTAGATGGGCATGTGTCTGTCCCGGGCCTGTCCCACCAAAAGACACTGATGTGAATTCACAGAGGCCCTGAGCCCCCTTCACATAATCATCATCAATCAGAAAAAAAGGTCCACCATGAATCCTGCTTGCTCAGGCTCTCCTCAGCGGCTCCCAGCTCCAGAACCTGTATGTGAAGGAGTCCTCACCACTGGCCCTCTAAGCAGGCAGGGGCTCGGGGCCAGGGGGGGGTTGGGGGCATCTGGGCCAGAGTTTGTGGATGCCGGTGTTGACACCACTAAGCAACCCTGAGCCCAGTTTTCCCTTAAGGAGCCTGGGTTTAGGAAGATGTAAAGCAAGGTGCTTCCAGAAGGAGTGAGGAAAGAGAGAAGAGAGAAAAAGAAGAAAGCTGAGAGCTGACCTTCTTGTTTTGAGCACCTACTAGGGGCCAGGTACCCTGCTAGGCACTTCTGTTCCTTATCCCACTTCTTCCTCACACATACCCCACGAGGCAGGGGTTTGAGCCTCACTTCGCAGACAAGACCGAGGCTCAGAGGTTCCACGGCAGGTCCAACCTCAGCATCCAGCTCCACCGGTGGAGGAACTAGAATTCCAACCACATCCAGCTGCCTCCACCACCTGTGCCCTTCACTTCTAACAAAGTCCCTCCAATTAAGTAACAATTCATTCGGTGTCCGTTTTTTAATCAATCGAGACAGATACTGTATCTGCCAGTCAGACTTCGGGCCAGCATGAGATGAACAATGTGACCACAACCAAACTGTCTGACTCCTGCCCCAAAACAAGACAGGATCTTGACTTTCACTTACCTCATGTCCTTCTGTCAAGGATGACTGAGACATTTCCTGGCCTCAACAAATATTTGTGGTGGGTCTCTAAGGGGAAGTACTGTCAAAAGTGCTTAGGAATACAGCAGAGTTTCTCATGAACTCACAGTGTGGTGAGGGAGAGAGACATGAACCAGATGACGACAGATGTGATGTGTCTGCAAGGTAAAGACATAAAGTGCCATGAGAGTATGTGAAGAGGACCCTGACCCAGCCTGAAGGTCAGAGAAAGCTTCCTTAAGGGATGGCAATTGAGCTAAGAGTTAAGGAATCAATAGAATTTGCCTAGGTAAAGAAGCAAAGCAAGGACAGAACATTCTATAAAGTCTAGAGAGACCGTCACGTGTCAAGACCCTGAGGAGGGATCAGCATACTTAAGGTACTAAACAGTTGTGGTGTAACTAGGTCCGGAGATCACAGGTGAACTTGGTGTGGTGCCAAGCCATGCAACATCAGGGATTTTGATTTTTATATTAAGAGCAATGGGAAATCATTGAAGGGTTTTAAGCAGGGTGACAACACGATCAGATCTGCATTAAACAACAACAACACTCGAGCTCCAATATGAAAAGATTAAGAATAGAGGAAGCAAGACCAGTGAGGAGAATTCTCTAATTGACAGTGACCTTGACAAGGGTGGTGGGAGGGGAGATGGGAGGGGTGCAGAGACCTCAGAGATGCATAGGACTAGAGCCCCACAGGCTGCGGTGATAGGTTGCATAAGGAGGGGTGAAAGAGGCAGAGAGATCTAGGTTAGTAAGTTGGCGGGGCCACTTACAAGGTTTAGAATAGTAAACGAGGTTCAGTGGGAAAGACCATGAGCTCAGCTCTGGACGTGCTATGGTAGAGATGCCTTCGAATTATCCAGCTGGAGGTGTGGCCGGTTAACTATGAAGCTCTGAAACTCGGGGAGAATTCTGCACTGACATATAAACTCGGGAGCCAGGAAGGAGTAGTAGACTATCATCGCCAAGGTCACGAGTAAGAAAGAGCCTGAGGGTAAGTCAAAGGTTTAAGGCTAAGTCCCGAGGAGTTCCAACATTTACTGCTGAGGGGGACCTGCCTGCGAAGGAAGGAAACAGAAAAGGAGTAACAAACTGACTGGGGAGGAAGCTTGCTATCAGGGAAGCCAAGGCAAGAAAGCTGTGCCCCGTGCGGCCGAGAGGTCAGGTGGGATGAGGGCTGCGAAATGCTGGTTGGATGGATCAACATGAAGAAAAGCAGGGACCTTCCTGAGCAGGGACCTGCTGAGCGATGGCAGGAGGCCTCGAGCAGGGTGAAATGTGAACAGAAAGGGGGTTTATGGAATCAGTGTGTACAGGCAAGTCTTCTGTGCAGTTTGCTGGGAATGAAGAGAGACTGAGCAGGAGCTCTCAGGAGATGAAAGAGTCAATGAAGTTTTGTTTGTCTGTTTGTTTGTTTTTGCCTTCTTTTTTAAGATGGGAGAGACTTTCCGCAAAATTGACCAAAAAAACCCACAAAATACTTGGGGACACCTTCCCACCCTTCACCCTTCCCTCAGACTTCCCGAGACCCCCATGGAACAGAATTAATCAGTGGCAAACATCAGACCTCCCAAACGCCCAAACCCTCTCCCGCCCAGTGCTACCAGCTTGTTAAGGGAAAGGAATTTTCCTTTGGTTTTCCCATACCCCAGTCTCCTCTTCCCTCTTCCAAATCGCATTAGGAAGTCAAATTAGGAAGCCTCCACGCAGCCAAGTTTTGTTTTGCAGAAACAGCCCTGCCCCCCCTCATTGAGCCCTCCCAATTGAGGTTAATGGGATTCCAGCCTCCCTCGGGCCAGTGGAAAGCCAGGCTGACCTACTTTGTGAGGTCCTGCCCCATGAAACTGACTTGCTTTTCAATGATCTTCATCTTTTTCCCCAGGACCACTTCTCAAAGGACAGCCATGAACGAACAAATTAGCTGCTGACTTGTTCAGCTCAATAAATCAAGCTGCAGCTCTGTCAGCCCAGAGCGCAGGTAGAGACAGAAAAGACAGATGCTGAGCAAAACCCACATCCTTCACTAGTTCCTCTGGCACCTGAGTAGAAAATGACCAGGTTTCCTGCAGATCGATTCTGAATTTCCACCACCCAGTTCCTCCAGTTTCATCTGAATACTAGGAATTACTGGAACTTTAAAAAAATCATTTTTTATTCTCATAATGAATCTTGTAAGGGACTGCAGTCCCCTTCATGATTCCCAGCCACTCTCTTTAATTAGTATTTGATAAGACAACCATCCATGTGTCCTCCAGACAGCTGAAGGGAGGGTGGATCAGAGACACGGTCACCCTCTCCA